CTTCTCTACAAGAGACCCACTACGAGTCCTCAAATGTCCCCGAACCCCCCGATTCTCCTCGATCAGACGATGAATCTGATGCAGAGCCTTTCTCTGACAGCGAAGGGCCTTTCTCTGTTGACGGCTCAGACAGCGAGACGCCAGCACCCCATGAAGAGAAAAGTTCGACCGGCAAACACACTGCGACCCCCTCTGCAGCCACTGCAGCCCAGCAGCGTCTTCATCCTGATAGCTCCACTTCTTCCTACAGAAAATCACCGTACAAAGAAAACAACCACAGTCACAAGAAAGAGGAGAGCAAAAAGAACCACCTGGAGCCCTCGGCTCCCGGGCCTCGTCATCCCCAGCCTGATTCAGACTCTGGTGGGAATCACTGCGCCCCACTACCTGAAAGCGCAGGAACTTCAAAGATCAGCACCACCACAACCTGTGATGTGGACTGTCCTGAGGACAATGGTACGACAAATGAAAAGTATTTTAGGTTTCATGAGTGTGCGTGTGTGTGTGTCTATATGTCTGTTTTCAATGCAATCATAATAAGGTGAGCAGCAAGTTTGCTTTAAAAAAACAAAAGTCTAAAGGCCTTTGCGGACGTGCAAACTCTTTCCGAATATTTTGTGCACTAAAAGTTAATTTTAGGGCTCATCTATTCTTCAGTGTCAACTTATTTCACTGCATGAATTTGTGACTTTTATTCACATTTGGAAAAATAAACAGATCTGCCCAGACAGACTACTGCACTGTAGTTCAAAGTGCATCAGTACTGAATATACAATGATATGGAAATCGTAAAATAATGCTGTTTAGCCACAGACACAGCGCTAGACACTGCTCCGGGTCAATCAGCTCTCTGAAATTATTTCTCTTCCTCCTCAGTTGTGGTTCCAACTCTTTCAAAAACAGCTCAAACTGTCCCGCTGACATCCTGAGATATTTACAGAAGCGGTCGTGGTGCTGCTTCAGCTCCTTGATCAAACCATGAAATTGTCCCTACTACTGTCTTCTCATGATGAATTTGATGATGTTCGTGTTTAGAAACATCAGGACCATCATGATCATCGCTTGATGTTAATGTCATCTTTTTCACGTCACTTTTTTTTCAGGCGAATTTTCTGCAAACTGCAATGCTTTCAGTGTGCATCTGCGTTACACCACAAGTTTGGATCCAAAAAATTAGCTTTTTTCAACGTGCTCAGGGTATTAAAGCCTTAAGGTGTCTTAAGAGCCCACTTATGCCAACACATAAGTGGGTGCTGCTGGACTGACTCCTTTTAGATCAATGATGGCCGTGAAGTCAGTCCTAGTCAGTTGAATGTAGACAGACCCTTAATCCTACTGTACTATTTGGTCCCTTTGGCTGGATTTAGCATTAGTTTTATTGCTGGAGTGTGTGTGAAGATTTCTATCAAAATGTGTACCATATATGACCAGTGAAGACTGGTGCTAAGCACTAGATTTTCTGACGGTTTCTACAGTCACATCCCTTGCAGAATGTGGTGGTTGTGTGTTGTTTTTACTTGGCGGGACCCAAGTGATAAGTATGTTAGTGGTTTCACTCATCTTGTCTAATTACAGTCTGGTGTAATATCTGTGTGCGGGTACCTTCTAGTGGTTGTAGTTCTGGAGCATAGACAGAAAAAGCAATGAATGTAGCTTCTGTGACGTCACCTATTGTTTAGTAAAGTCCTGTCATAAAACCTCAAGCCGAGCATTTTCCCCCGTTGCCACCCTCACCGCCACTCCACTAGTCCGTATACTGACGTCTCTACTGACAGCTTAATAGTGTGAAAGCGGAGCGTGACAAGGCTGCTATAGGACTGAGTCGGAGGAGTCGCCCTCTGCTGACCATTAAATAGAATGCAAGTTTAATGCAAGCGCACACAGTCGTAGCTGTTAATTCAAAGATCAATCCATTGTTTATCTATGTGATGTGTGTTTTTTATGCTTTTTGACCAGTGTGTTCTGGCATTTTTAAGTATAGTGGCTTTTCAGTTCTGACAGCATCATCTTAGTAACTGTTTTGTTTTTAATAGGTCCCAAAGCCAGGTTGATGCTCCGCTACCCTGATGGACAGAGAGAGCAAATTTCATTGTCTTCTAAAGCAAAACTTTTGGTGAGTGAACCCCAAAATCGCTGATATTCAAGTAAAATAAACAGTAGTACATGTTTATAATGCCTAATAAACATGGCAACATTTTTTTAAATCTTTTTTTCCCCTACCTTCCAAATTATACTCTCTCTTTAAGGCCCTGGTAAGACACGTCCAGTCTAAGGGTTATCCTAACGAACGCTTCGAACTCGTCACCAACTTCCCCAGAAGGAAGCTCGCCCACTTGGACTATGACATCACGCTGCAGGAGGCAGGGCTGTGTCCACAGGAGACTGTATTTGTGCAGGAGAGGAACTAGCCTTCCAGACACACTCACTTTTCGCTTGTCTGTATCTCTGGTAGACCTCACCCTTTCACCAATGATGTGGGATGATGTTACTGGCCTTGATCCCATAACCTTTTGTTCTGGAGGTGGCCCTGGTTTTTGCCAAGACAGATAAGGGTGGATGGGCTACTTTCACCGCCACTCCACTAGTCCGAATACTGACATCTCTACTGACAGCCTAATACCTTTGTAGTGCTCTACAATTGGCCAGTAAGGTTTAATGGATGCCAGCAGTCTTTAATGTTTTTAATAAACTATATACTCTGCTCTGAGGCAAGCCTCATTTAGCTTTCAACACTGAGGCATATCAGAACAGAATATATATCATATAGCTCGTCTTCAATTAAAAAATGAAAAAAGAAGAAAAAAACACAAATAATAGATCACTAATTGATGATGGGCCACAAGGGACTTGTACAAAGAGACTTTTACCTCTCAGAAAGGACATTAAATCAGTCAGAGTTTATTTTCTAGCTCTTCTTGTTATTTTCTCTACCTGGGACAGGTAAAGGGAGGCTCATTCTTGTTTATTTTGACCCAAATTTGGTCTCTCACTCGGTCATTGTTGAAACAGTTGTAATTATTTGGAAGGCAGGGGCGCTAAGAGGCCAGGTCCAAAAATTACAAAGTCGTGAAAATGTGTCTTTTGATACAGAAGGGAATGAATAAAAGGTGGTACATCTCATCAGTCACACCTACACTGTACAGAGATGGCTTAGAGAGACTGATATTTCGATGTAGTCATTGTTTCCTTTCTTTTTTTATATGCTGCCAAGAAAATATGCTGATGTTGAAATATAACCACCAGAAAACAAAAAGAGAGGTTCTGCTTCATCTTTTTCTTTATTATTATTATTTTGAATCGTTTGTGTGGCTTTAATTTAAAGTTAAAACCCCAAACGCTTGAACAGCTAACAGAGTAAATAACTTCAGATTCAGCTGGAACTACTGAGAACACAAATGTGTAGTGCACCTCACTTTAAAGATTAAGCATTTTTAGTGTGTCCATACTACGTTTTGACATGTTTTATTCCTGGAGCCTTGGTGAAACCAGTAAGAGTATTTTACATCTTATGTGTAATGCACATTTCTCAAAAAAATGACAGGAACACTTGATCATCACAGTATAACACAGATGGTTAAACTTTTCAGTTGGTAACCACAGCTCCCAATGGGGATCCATTCCACCTGGTTTGGTCCAAATGAAGTGACAACAGCTGCACTGGACAGGCAACTCCCCCCTGCGCAGGGAAGGCCACAGACTATTGCTCCTGACTGATTTTCCTCTAGTTCTCCTTTTTGGAAGTGCCCTTGCCATCAGTGGCAGCATGAAATGATACCAGTTAGTCCAGCTCTTCTGTGATACCGTATGCAAACAGGCAGTTGCAAAGTTTTCTGTCTCCTAGTACAGCCTTGAAGGTGTAAATGGGTTATTGCACAAGGAGAACTAGACAGAGCCACAGAGGGGGCATCAGCTCAGCAGCAGGACTGGTATCTGGTTCTTGATGCGAGAAGGAACTGGAGGAGCACTGCCAAAGCCCTACAAAATGACTTCCACTGGAATACTTGAGCATGTTTCTGATAGAAACACTACCTGAGGGTGGCATGAATGCCCAGCAGTTTTTAGTAGGACGTGTGCTCACAGTACAGCACCGAGCAGCTCAATTGGTGATGGCCTGACAACACCAGAGCTTGCAGGTTAGCCACTGGTGCTCTGTTCTCTTCACAGATGAGAGCAGACCACCTTTAAACAACATGAAAGAGTCTGAAGACGTTGTGGTGAATGTTTTCTGCAACATTATCTAGTATGACAGGTTGGGCAGTGGTGGTCTCAAGTGGGATTTCCTTGCATAGAGACCTCCGTGTGTTAGCCAACAGCAGTTGGGTATAGAGATGAAATCCTCAGATTCACTTTACATCTTTTGCTGGTGCAGAGTGATGCCTTGCCTCGTGTGGGCAGTGTGTAGCCATAGTGGTAAAGGCATAGGTATCATGGCCCTAGAACAATATTTATGAGTCCCACAGATTATCTAGTACCTCACTTATGCTCTGATCCAGGATCTGGGAGAAGATGAACCAGGGCATCATCCACTGTCTGACCAGGAGCGTACCCAGATGTCTGAAGTGCATGGAGGCACATTGAGGCTGTAAACATTAGTGAGCCAGATTAGTCTGATCACTCTGATATAAATTTATAGCTTTTTTGTTGTGATTTGATGATTTTGGTTTCCCCTGGCTTTTGTTACATAATTTTGTTCTCAGCAAATTACAGTGTGTATCAGTAAAAACTTTCAGCCTGAATATTTTGTCATCAAGAACCAATGTGTGATTTAAGTGTTCCTGTAACTTTTTTAAATTTTATTTTATTTTTTTGGAGCGGTGTATTTAGATTTATTTTTTTTTTGTGCTGAGGCTGTTAAAGACTTTTCTGTGTGTCTGTTCAGACTGAGCAGGTTTGTGTTTCTTAATATGGACAGATGGTGGTGATAACGTACCTTAAATACCAACAATTCCCCGAACGCAGGTGAAAATTCCACTAAGACCAAAAAGACACTGACACCAATATTTTATAAGCAGTGTTTTAAGTTTTAACTGTTCAGATTAAAAAAAAAAAGTTTTAGGAAGTATCTTGATGCATTCTCAATCATCAAGGTAAGTAAATCTCCAAAAGTTGATTCTGTTCATCTGGACGTAGCGTTTCGTCACTTGGAGTCATGCACGTGTTAACTGGTGCAGGGGTTTCTGTGGTGGAGTATGAGCTGTTTCCTTCCCAGAGATTTTTCTGTGTTTAAGTTTTTCACTCAGGCGTCCAGTCCTGGAAGAAAAGAGGTGATGTTTCTTAAAAATGTTACAGTGATCTATGTCAGTGGTAACAATCATAAGGCCAGGGGACTAGAAGCAGCCCAGCAAAGATCCACTATCTGGTCCACTGGAAGACTTTGGAAAATATGAAGGAGGGCATGAATTTTGGACTTTTAGATGGATTTATTAGATTTAGATTTCATTCATTTTTCTTGCTGATAAAGTCTCCTCCATGGCCATTCATACAACGCCAAAGTAATTAAGAGACAGATAAACAATTAAATGACAGAAAAGTTCCATCAGCTATTAAAAAAATTTGTTGTTTTTTAAAGTGGGTTCACAAAAAGCAATTTTGAAATCAAATCTTTGAATTGACAGAAGCTTTGTTTTGTAATTAGAGCACAGTCTGAGCTACCAGACGTTGTCTAATTTTGCGTATTTATTTCTTGCAGTTTAAGCCCAAACAATATTTCTTTAACATAAAGAAAAACAAAGATATACTGTTGAATTTACATGGCTGCTTTTATTAACCCTCTCGAGGCAGGCGTTGCCGATTTGCAAAAGTTAAAAACTAACAACCTGGTTACCCCACATACATATTTTATGAGGTTTTTTTTTTACTCAGAAGTACCACTGCAGGACTTGGTTGTGCATTAGCAACAAAAAGTTTAATTTGAGCCTGAAAGGGTTAAGACATCACAGCCAAGTGTGTAGGTAAACTTCTTTTTACTAACTGAAATGGGAGTTTCACTGGTCTGGATAAAAAATGGGCTGTATGTGCTGCAAATTGAATGTTGGCTTCAAATTTTGTCCAATCAATCAAAACATCTTTCTTCGCAAATAAGAAATCTCACAGTTAATACAAGACTTGATGCTCCTGCATCACTGGCATCAACTCTTTGTGTGACAGGCATTATTTCCAGTTTGATGGGTTGACATATTGTTTGTCACACCCACCTAGAAGCAGTTGTCTGGTCTTTTTAAACTAATATGTGACCACTGCTGTGACTCATAGATTAGAATGAGATCTTTCCAAAAGAAAAATCCCTGGACAACACCTGAAAATTGTTATTAACAGTGCCTGGTGTGGGGGGCAGTGGTCAGAGGTGAAAGAGTACAGTGTGCAGCTGTGCAAACAGATGAGGAGTCTTGAGTCTGTTTCACTCCCCTCGCTGTGTGGATAATACAGTATGAGACAATCATTCTTTCACCTCCTGCTTTTTGTGTAAAGGACAAGGGTGAACTAGAAAGTGCATTTTCTGAAGAAACTGCAGTGTGAATGCTTGACTCTGAATGTATGCACTGAAATGAAATAATTACTGAATTTAAGTTAAAAATTTTGAATGAGATTAAAAAAAAAAACCCGAATTTAACCTGAAAACAAAAGTGCTGAACTGCTAAAAGCTGAAGGTTACACAGAAGAAGAAGTTGGAAAAAGCTGAAAATGTTTTAATTGTAAATTAGAAAACCCTAAGAAATGAGAAAAGAACATTTAGAATCAGAAAACATCTGAAAGAATATTAAAAGGTCATATTCTTTGAATCACTGAATGACTAAAATGTGATCCCTCCACTTGGACCCACACAGTTTAAAAAATATAAAAGTCTGAGCTTTGAAAGACACGGTGTTGGAAAGAGAACAACGATGGCGACAATTTGAGGGTAAAATGATGGCTTTAACACTGTGGACACAGCAGCAGTTGAAAGAGAAGTGTTTAAGATGAATCTTGGTACAGTGGCAGAGAGAGCTCGTTAAGCAGGCAGGTGTGAGCCTGGTTGCTATAGTGACCGCACCCAATGGCTCCATACACAAGGACACAGACATGCGCCTCACTTTTGCTGCTTAAAATGAACAGAAAAGTCAGGCCGAAACAAATTCTTCCCAAATGAAAAGTACATGTCGTATTGACAAAATTCTTTCACCGTGAGCGACAGCCATGTCTAGTCTACCTAATTCTCAGTTTTCATGCCTGTGGAGCTTATTATATGGACGTGGTGACAGTGTAAAGACACCATGCTCTTCTGATTTTCAAACGAACCTTCTGAGCAAGTTTAACATTAGAGTCTATGGAAGAGTTGGAGGGAGGAGGCTGTGCATTGGTGGCATTTATGAAAAAACCATAACACCTAGTACAATAGTAAACACATTGGATGAAAGAGGACAGCGATGGCTACGTTTTGAGGGTAAAATCATACCTGTAGAGCAAACGCTGCGGACACAGCAGCAGTTTTAAAAAAGATTTTAAGATTAATTTTTTTGCTCCTCTCACTCTAGCAGTTGAGCTGTCTCACTCTAGCCCCAACATTCCGTCCCATACACACCCATTATAAACTCTGAAACGGGTGAAAAAACATCATGAAACTTAAACTGGAACTGAAGAAAAGTATAATAGATATTGAAAAGATAAATACAAGTTCAATAGTTGAATGTCTTGTCTTCGTTTTAAAGTTTGAATGGTGGCTCTATGTCAACGTATGTGGAAGTAGTAAGAGTTTAAAAATGAGTAAGTTGAATGAGAATTTGAAGGGTCTCCCCATTGAAATACATGGGAAATTTTTGTTGAATAAAGTTGAATAAAATTAAAAATATAAATGTTAAAAATGAGAAAAATAGAAGCAATCATGTCCAAAAGAATAGGAATCTAATGGTGTTTGAATGGTTTTTCTAAGTTGAATGGTTTTGAAGGAGTAGGCTTTCAAAAAACGTATGGAATAGATAATAAAATAGAAGAATAAAGATTAGAAGAACAATACTGCTTTTCAAGCATTCACACTAATAAACACAGGAGGGCGAAGGGAAATTTTATTGCTGACTAAAACAGAACAGCTAAAACCATTTCCTCCCACGAAAAATCGTTAAGCCCATCAGAAGTTTCGCAAGTCTGAGATTACTGTGTGTTCCAAAGTCACATCTTCAGAGTAGGAAACTCTTTAAAACATGCATTTTCTTTTTCACTTTGTCAGTCAGTCAGAGAAATTGTGTTTTTCCCCTGCTGAATTTCTGGTACCTCCAAATAAAGGAGCAACAGTTTAAAAGCCCACATCGAGTAGCAATGACCTAAATCAATTTCACACTGAAGCCGAGTTGATTAATCGGTGCTGAAATTTTAATGACACAGCAGGACAGCAGCCCTCAGGCTTTGTTTGTTCAAAGGGTTTGTCTGTTGCATAAAAGGCTGGTGACCCCAGTTGTCTGATTACCTCTTAGCTCATTCTCAGAACAAATCAATAACAGTTAATAAACAGTGAGCCATTTTTGGGTTGAGTTTAGACATAAAGTTCAGTTTGGACATCACATGAACCAGTACTCAGACTGGGATTTTAGTCTTCTGTGTCCCCTGGGGAGCTTTTTCAGAGTTTGAAAACTTTATAGGAGCTCCAGTGAAGATGCTGTTGGTGCTTGATGTGTTGACCTTTGATTTGTTCCTTAGGAGTCCCAATTTTATGACCTCCATGGAGTACCCACTAATATTTATGCATATTTGGAGAGTTTTTAGACTCTTGCAGGTTTTGCACATTTTCTTTTGTACTCTTTATGAAATGGATTTAACTCAATCAACAAAAAGTTACAAGTTACTACAACTTGACTGAAATCCATTAAGTATTGCTCATAACAGGAAGAGATGCAAATTAGCTCATATAAGATCCTTGCATGTAATTGTGTATCCCAGAATGAAAACCTAGCATGGAGGTTCAGTGGCTTTTCTGTAGACCTGCAATAGATTGTGTAAAAACACAGATTCTGGGGAAAGTATACGAATATCTGAAAATGTCCAGGAGCAAAAAGAAGCAAGGTGCCACCATAAATCTTTCAATAACTGGCCACCAGTTTCCCAAAACACACCTGAGTAACTCACTTCAGCATGATCCTCCAGTCTTCCTATCATTTCTCTACAGGTTAACCATGACATCATCTGCCCTCAGACTTGAGTGAAATCCAGATCTTTTGCCAAGTATATCATGAATTGATGAGGGAACAAGCCTCAACTTGCCATGAAAGTGCCTGTGAGTCTTAAAATCACTTATGAGCCTCTGAAAACGGGGATCTGTTTAGAAAAATCGCTGAAATTCCTAAACATCTTGATTGTTTAAACTCCAGTGTGGTGACATTGCCCAAAAACTCCTGGAGTTTCCTGGAGTTGACTGTATGACAGGAATAATTCAGAATGACGGCTGTTCAGGTATCAGAGAAGCAGCTCTGAATATGTCTCCTTCCACTTTAATGTCAATCTCTACTGAAGGTGCAATTAAAGTCACCATTTCTATCAGTGACGTAATAACAGTATGAATAACTGAGGAGCCCGATGTCTCTGATTCCTGATGGAGGAGATGGATGTTTTTCTACAAACTGACACTTTCTCAAAGTGTACTCATGTGTGGGCCTCAAGATGAATCACTCCTGGCTCATGTGTCACAGTTAACTCCAGTGTTGCCTCTCACTCAAACGCCTGCCTTGAACACGCCTTCACATCTTACAGTAGCACACAGCATTTCACCTGCACCTGAAGGGGTTATTGCATGCACAGTGGAACAAAACCTTAAAAACAAAGATGACCATAAAAAATACAACAAAGCATCTGCTCTTGAAGCTCACCCGTTTATGCAGACTACAGTACTTTGTTATTCCCCTGCTCTGTGTACTCTAGGAGAACAGCCATGGATGATAAGCTTATCTCCTCTGACTCAGCACAGTCAGAATGACTTAGCGAACAATAATCTCTGATACGCAGTCCTTCGCAATAATCCTACACTTCAGAAAGTTCAGTCACAAAGCTACAAAGACAAATAATGGTGTTCAAATTCATGTTCACAGCCACATATAAAAATATAGAACTGTGTGACGATTTTATTTGGTTCTGTTTTCTGATCTTATGACAAGAAACGGTCCTGCCTGCAAAAGCTGGACATGTATGTTACGGATTGCCAGGTGTGTTATCAAGCACCTCAAAGTCCTTTAAAAATGGGACTGACAGCAATAATCTTCTTTGATTTTTTTATAGAGTAAATGTTTAATTCTAGTGTGTGCGGCAGGAGTTAACCACCATGATGAATTAATTTCTGTTAGGATTAATAAAGTTTTGTAGAATCAAATGAAAGACAATTCATGGCCCAAGCAGTTCTGAGTGAAGTGTCAGCAAAGATTAACAAAAGCACAACATTCAGATTGAACTGCAGACTCACAAGACAGATACTGTAACGAGGGCTAAAATCATTCAAGATCAATTCCAGACTACATACCTCAGATGCCCACAACATTCATTTGTATTTCTTCTGGTTCATCTGAGTTCTTTAGGTTCATAACACAAAACAGGGCAAGAAAATAAACAACCCTTGCAGCAAATACCCCATCAGATCAGCTGCATGAGCAATATCTGTCCAGTGTATACCTAATAGAAACACACTCCGCACCCTAGCAATAGAAAGAGATGCTTATACACAGAAATGATTAACCTGGACTCCTGTGTCTCCTCCTGGGATTTAGTCCTACAATTAATACAATCATTCCACAAAAACTGAATGGCAGCCTGGCGCTACTTGGACTTCGACCCTCTCTGTATCACTGAGTGATGGATTTTCTTACAAGGAGGCCGTCATTCACAACACCACCTCCTCCTCCACCAGTCAAACACTACAGCCGCCTTCCCCCGGCTGTGTCCTGACCCTGTTTCTGCTGTGTCACAAAGCTGGAGTATGATGGCTCAGCTGGACGTATGGGGCAATCATGATGCCAAGTTTGCATAAAACATAAAAACTCACGTACTGTGGGAAGGAAGTGAAGGAACTGAAGACCTGGAGAGAAGAAGAACTACAAAACCTCACAAATGCTTACCATGCATGCACAAACACAGCCAAAGAAAGACAGTCAACCGGTGCCAGGTTCCTGCCATGCATCTCCCACAGATGTCCAGTGAAGTGCGCTCTGAGCATCATGACCCACATCATCACACTGTTTCGTCCTGCTGATTAGAATGGGAAGTAGTCATGATTTATTAAAATGAAGTTAAATACAAAATTATAATAACGATAAATGTAACTGATAATCTAAAGCACAGAAATATGTTTGTTATCAGCGTATTACAACTATTTGATAAGGTACAACTTTATTTGGCAGGAGATCAGTTTCTACTTCATAGATAAGTCTATAAAGTAAGCTTATCTTGATTTTGAGGACTTTAATCTCTCAAAATAAAGACTTGTGTAATCTGCAGACTCACCTTTGGACACATTTCAGTTTTGCTAGTTTATCTTCCAAGTCACACATTTGTGCTGATTACCTGAAAAAAAAGAAACATTTTACAATCTGTACTTTCCCTGCTTGTATTATTTAGGGGTACTTCCTGCAAGCCCACTCTAAGGTCAGCATAACACCTTAAAAATGTGCACTCAAACTTTCCCTACTCAGAACTGTCCTCTTTGTGGAATGGGTTTATTTTAGATGTAAACATTTCTCAATACTCAGGGGTATCATATTGATTTCTCAGCTGATGGTGAATAATACTGTATCAGAGACCCTGATAAGATGGCTGGACTAATTCCTCATGTTGTAAAGTAAATTTAACCATAGCAATATTAATACTTGCAATCACCTATTCCACAATTATGTGTTATTATATCTAGAGCTGGGAGCAAAATCTGCATAAATATTTCTTTCCCTCTTATTTTGCTTTTTTTTTTTTTTTAAAGAAAGAAGCATGGAAGAGATGTGCTTTTTGTTCCGATTATCAATTTTATTCATGGCTGGCCCAATTTCAAAGTTGGATGGGTCCAACCTTTATCTTTAAAATTGATATAAGGGATAATTTAGCTACTTCTGCTACTCATCATCTTCACTGGACCTTATTCTGTTATTAAAAATGATTATTTTAGGTTTCCTATTTGAAGGAAACGGTTTCCAAGGCCTAATCCGTGGATCGACTTCCTTCGAGGCGTGGACGTCTATCAGCAGAGAATGTACCTTAGTCTGTAACACAGTCAAATATATTCTCAAGTAATATTCAAGCATGCCATTCAGCGTGTTAGTACGAGCTCGGGAGCAGCTTGGGAGAACAAGAAAACAGAGACTGCTTTAGATTGTCTTCCCAAAGTGACTCAACTTTATTCACAAGTACAACAGTTTATATAGAGGGTAAAATTCATGAGACAGCAGATTTATCAGTTTAAACCAGTACAGACCAAGATAAGGCAGCGTCTTCCTGCCCTTGGGTGAAGAAGCATCCTTTGTGTAGTTTATCAGTTCAGCTACAATTGTGATTATCTCAGCGACATATTTTCAAGGCACAAAACAAAGAGTTCTTACATTAGTGAAATCTGAAACAAACCATTTGGCCTTCAACAGGCGTCTCCTAAAAGATTAAGAAACTAATGTAGCTGAGGGAGTGATCTCTGTGGTATTTCAACCTTGTACCAGCTTGTGATTCTCACACATCAATTCTTGGGTCAAAGAGAAAAATAACTAAAACAAAGGGGCCTTATTGAATGACAGAGTTTTCCTGTATAATGTCACTATAAAACAATATCCAGTAAATGCTACCATGGTACTAAAATACCTAACACTATTGTTCCTTTAAGTTTTACCTGCTTCAGCCAAGTAAGACATTTAAAGTTGCAAACGGACACAGCAGCACAGAACAAAAACTGCATGAATAAAAATGAATTTGGATAATAAAACACTGCAGAAGCAAGAAAGAAAAGCAGATGATGCAAAATAAAAAATAGATCAGTTTTCACTTACACAGGCTTTGGCTGTGGACGCAGGATGGTGTGCAGTCCTCTGCAGAGCTGTAAAAATTAGGTTAATTAGTTAACAATAATAATATTTTATTTTGATTACTTCATTGTGAGTGGTAAATTATGTCTCCTAATTCCAGAAATACTAAGTAGTTTCTAGATACAGCAAATATTCTTCTTCTTCTTATCCAATATTAAAGGATGGTGTACTACAGTAATGTTGCTACATTAAGTATTAAATCCATCCAGAATCATGTTTTGGATCTTCCAAAGTTACACCACCGAACATGCATCATTAAACATGAAATGTATTATGAGAGGTATTATGTGATATCTCTACATTTGATGGCTGAGAATAAAGGAAGCGGTCAAATGTGCAAATCAGCATGAACCTTAGTGCTTGCATTGGGTAATATTGACTCTGTAAACACAGCTCCCAAGTGGGTCACACAAACTGCAACTTTTCCAAGTAAAAAAAAAACAAAAGAAAAGTTTGCAGGTTCTGATTTTAGAGGCTGAATAATTATGAATATTGAATGAAACTTTCATGCCACTTCTGGATACAGAATAAAGACAATTATATTAAATTAAAAAACAAATTGCAAAATAAAGACATTTTCTCAAGAAATACAATATTTTGTGTGCTATATAAAGTCTGGTGGCATTTATACTTCTATTCCACGTATTTACTAAAAAATTAAAATATTTTACAGATGTTTCCACAACAAATATTTCAGGACATCCATTCTTTCCTGCAAAACATCACATGAGTATATTAAATTCTCTACTTTAAGCAGTCCAGAGTTATATTCTGAACCAAAGTTTAGATTTTTCTTTCTTTCTTTCTTTTTTAAGTTAACTTCAGCATGACTATGAAGATATTCCATTGCAGGGCTTTTTACATGTGGAGTATTTTTACATTGTGCCATATATACTTTTATTCAGACACCAAAATCCTTTTCACGTGGCTGGTTAGTCCTGAGACCAGAATGCTTTACTGCAGTAAAAACTCCAGGGGTTTTTGTTATTGTTTTGTTTTTTTACTCTTAAATGTAGTTTAGACTCTGTGCTGCAGAATGTTTTGTCCTCTGACCAAACCTTTAACCCACCTGAAAACAAAGATTTTTGGTCCTGCACGTGTATCCTAAATATGCTCATCTCTAAATATTTCTGATTTCAAATTGTGCAAACAAACTGTTTCAGATGACTAAATGTTATTTCGTATTATGTGGCAATTTCAGATTGTCCATGAAACCTAATCTCTGTCTTTTGCACACTAAAGTACACACGTGCGCCCCCACATGCGCACACATTAGGAAACCTGAGCAAACTCTGGCATTTTTATCTTTTGTCCCGGTCCACTCAGGTTTGCTATAAAAGCCCGAGCAGCCTCCCAGTCTCTCTGCTCTGCTGATCCGGAGACCCCACCGCCCAACATGAAGCCCCTCCTCCTAGTGGCGCTGCTCGGACTGCTCGGTAAAAGCTTTTCAGCCCCGCACTACTATATTTAATCACACACATGACATCACATTTTCAATCCAAACTGACATCCATGTGTTTTAACAGCCAGCGCGTTCGCCCGACCCGGCTCTCAGAAGGTGAAATGGTGCGTCAAGTCGGACCAAGAATTGCGTAAATGTTTAGATCTCGCCGCTGCGGCTCCTGCGTTCTCCTGTGTGAAAAAAGAAAACACCCTCGAGTGCATTATTGCCATTAAGGTGAGCGCTTTTTACATCCAGAGCACCAAATTAACCACAAATACTCAATAATAGACTTTGACCAGGGCAGTTGTTATAAACGCAATGTAACTGAAGTGCTTCACAGTGCTCGGCTTATTCTGAAATGTTACTTAAATAAAAATAAGTGAATGTAATGACTTCATTTTATTGTTTTTTTTTCTTCACTTTCTTCGAGTAGGTTCATACTCGAACTACTACTAAAACATATCTAAAGTAAAGATAAACTAACTATATCTGCTGTGGAGTGTTCTAGAAAAATAGAGTCGAGTTAAAAAATAAAAAAATAAAATCCGAACCAAATGATTTGACTTTAACTATTTCAATTGTATCTAAATATTCAATTTCATTTGGTTACATAAATACAATTTAAATGTTACATTTAATGGAAGCTTGTCAAATAAAATTTATTTGATTGGCATGGATTCAGTTTATACCAAGCACATTTTCCTTGATGATTATTTAGCTCATTAAATAAACATTTGATTTTATATATTTCAGCTTTACTCACTTTACTCAAAATGATTGCATCATGTTTGCTGAGGATGAATAACTCCCCCCCCCCTTTAAGTATTTAATGTGGGGGAAAAACTACCAATGCCTTCAACTTATCCAGTGAAATTCTATGTAAAAATGACTTGACCTCAGTCATACAGCAAATACTCTCCGGCAGGCTGGTGAAGCAGATGCCATTACTGTGGATGGTGGGGACATTTACACTGCTGGCTTGAACAACTATGACCTCCATCCCATCATTGCTGAGGACTATGGCGCCGGTATGTCTAGTCATCAGCTGTCGTTAGTAGCCTAATGAAATAAGCTCAAGCAAGAACATGTTTAGCGTTTTATTTGAATGTGATTTAGCTGTTTCAATAATATTATATCCATTTTTTTTTTTCATTCATTCAGGTACGGACACCTGCTACTATGCTGTTGCTGTGGCAAAGAAGAACACTGGATTTGGCTTCAGAGATCTCAGGGGGAAGAAATCATGTCACACTGGTTTGGGGAAATCTGCAGGCTGGAACATTCCCATAGGATCTCTGGTGACCATGAATGTTATTGAGTGGGGTGGCATTGAAGACAAACCTCTGGAGGAGGGTAAAGGACTTTTTGTTTCTGGTTAGCTAATAACATTTGACAGTTTTAGTGCATGTATGGTCAAAGGACAATAAGATCAGACCTTTTTATGAGAAACTGGACACCTGAGAAACAATTAAACACACTTATTTGCTTTACTGACAAGAATTTATTGACGGGATCAAAACTACAGGAAAAGTAGAAACAGACAGGGGCTACCTAGCTTCTTTTTTTATTAGTCCTTTATTTAACCAGGGAAAAAAATCTCATTGAGATTAAAAATGTCATTTCCAAGAGAGACCTGGCTTCTGCCCAGGGATTATAAAATCCTGTGCCTGTCAGCACTTCTTATCACTTATAACACTTCCTTTTGTTAAATATAATTTACTGAAGTTCAAAAACTAGTCTGTTTAGACTAGTTAGGCCTGTTAGACAGTTGAACAAATCAATATCCATCCATCTTCTTCTTAACCAATTCCAGATCACAGGGGCTGGAGCCTGGCTCTCAGGGTGAGAGGCGCGAAAGGTTGCCAGTCTGTTAGGGGCCAGGAAAAGACAGGAAAACCACCCACACTCACATTCGTACATATGGTCAGTTTAGAATTGACAATTAACCTAACATGAAAGAAACTGGTGTATGCAGTATCCCATGCAAGGGGATGCAAACTCTGCATACACAGTATAATATGAAACTTCTAAATGATAAAAATGCATATGGGAACTTTCATATTTGTCTTTAAAGGGAGACAGTGGTGACACTCTGGCTCTATTGTCAGTGTTTTGGTTTTCTTTTCTAAATTATGACCCTGGCCTTGTTTTTTGTTATGCAGCTGTGAGCACCTTCTTCCATGCCAGCTGTGCCCCTGGGGCAGCAAGAGGCAGCAAGCTGTGTGAACTGTGCAAGGGAGACTGCTCCAGGTCCCAGAGGGAGCCTTACTATGACTACAATGGAGCCTTTCAGTCAGTGTCCACTTTTTAATGCTTCTCATTAGTGAACATAAACGTCTACACATTTAGCCAAACCTTTTATCTGTAATAATATGACTTTTGTGACAGGTGTTTGGTGGAGGGAGCTGGAGATGTGGCTTTTGTGAAGCATCTCACTGTGCCAGGTCAGTATCACAACAACCTTTATCCATTCTAACATGTAAAGAAGCACTGAATCATAGCATTGTCAGGTTTTATTTATCAAAAAAAAAAAGCTTTACCAAGATTAAAAGTTTCATTTTGAAAAGCAACAGGGACAAGAGGGGACCTGATGAACATGCATGACATACAAATACAACTGTTGCACACTGCACAAGTCAAGGACAAGTTGAGCAGAATTTCAAAGCAAATTTCAGAGCAATCACGTTGACCAAGAATGTCATTTTCTCCATTGATTAAAATCGTCTTAAACGCCCTGAAACTTCTACAAAATATGGGAAAGGATAACTGTGAAAAACACTGATGTAAAACCTGTGTCATATCACACTTCCAGAATCGGATAAGCCATCGTACGAGCTGCTGTGCAAGGACAACACCAGAGCACCTATTGACAACTATAAAGCCTGCTCCCTAGCCAGAGTGCCAGCTCACGCTGTTGTTACTCGCAAGGATCCACAGCTGGCCGACTTGATCTGGCAGAGCCTTGACCAAGTTCAGACTGACCACGTAGGAAGTACACTGAATAACATCTAATTTCAGCGTATTCTGATTCCTTGTGTTTCAGCAGCCTCATTGCTTTCCTAATGAATCATCTCACTTGCTGCCTTTTCAGAGCTTTAACCTCTTCTCATCTGAAGCCTACGCACCCGCCAAGAACCTGATGTTCAAAGATTCAACAGTGAGGCTCTTGAGGGTGCCCCCAAACACAGACTCCTTCCTGTATCTGGGTGCGAACTACATGAGCATCGTCCATTCCCTTAAAAAAGGTAAAGAACACAAGCAAGACAGGCAGAAACGCAATTGTTAGTCAGGTGTCAGTCTGGCTTATGTCTAAGTCTTTCTTCCCTCTCTAGAGCAGGCATCAGACGATGCATCCCCTGCCATCAGATGGTGTGCTGTGGGCCATGCTGAGACCGCAAAGTGTGACACGTGGAGCATCAGCAGTGTGTCTGGGGACACCACCTCCATTGAATGCCAGAGCGCCCCTACAGTTGAAGAGTGCCTGAAGAAGATTATGGTAAACTCTGGAGGAAATATCAAAATCTGTTAATTTATTATTTTTTGTCTCCACTCTGTGACATTCATCTCTGCTTTGAATCGCCCCGCAGCGTAAAGAGGCCGACGCAGTGGCCGTGGATGGAGGTCAGGTGTTTACGGCTGGAAAGTGTGGCCTGGTTCCTGTCATGGTGGAGCAGTATGTGCAAGGTAGATAACAAGAAGAAGAAATAACACACACACAATCCTGTGTCTTATTTCAACTTTTTTATGAGTAATATTTGTTCATTTTGTCTCCTCTCACAGAGTTGTGCAGCCGCTCTGATGGTAGTAAACTTTCATCTTTTTCCTCTTCTTTTTATGATCTGGACAAATTTTTTAAAAAG